TAGGAGGAAGGCAGCCATTCTTGCTGATATGAAGTTTCCCCCAAAGCTGGTTGTGAATGGAAAGGCAAATGTCTGAATGGATCTGGGAAAGCCCAGTAGACCAGGATCTGTGCAATGGGTATCAGCAGATGACAGTGTGTGGGGCAAAGACCCCTGTGAATCCTACCTGACTTGCAGTTGTGCCATCTCTGGGAAAGAATGGGTCAGGAGGAAGCCCAGGGCATAGACTTATGTTGGCTTTGAGTTGAATGCACAGGATGTGTACATGGTCTGAGTGGTTAGTTGGAGAGGGAAGGCTCCTTGAAGTGAGCAAACTTATTCCACCTATAGTTGGGGTCTGATCTTGTCTTCTCAGCTCCTCCTCTATCCTAACAGATGTCTCTGTGTAAGCCAGTACTTTTCTTTGTGGATCATGAAGTTGAGATTTCCAGAAAACCCACTGTTGGCCTAGCATCAGTCACACAGAGCAGGACCACCGTCTCTGCCTCCTCTCATATTTACTCGATTATGATGTTGGCAGGTCCGAGCTGGTGAGTCACTGATGAAGCTGGTATCTGATCTCAAGCAGTTCCTGATCCTCAATGACTTCCCATCTGTGAATGAAGCTATCGACCAACGTAACCAGCAGCTGCGTGCCCTGCAGGAAGAGTGTGATCGCAAGCTCATCACCTTGCGGGACGAGGTCTCCATTGACCTCTATGAGCTGGAGGAGGAGTACTATTCGTCCAGGTACAAATAGGGCTGGACTCCCATGCAGGCGGTACCTGCTGTCTGCCCAAGCCAGCTAGGGCCTGCAAGGGCCTTGTGGTTTTCCAAGTTCTCCTTGGCAGCAGAGCCCCTGACTAGAGCGTTCATGGACAGTCACAACCAGCCACCAGCTGGTGCCCAGGCCATCCCCTCAATGGAGTTGGGTGAAAATCACAGGACTTGGTGTCAGCGGCTAAGGGCAGAGAAGGGTATTCCCCAGGGGGCGAAGAAGCCCTCCTGGGCAGTGCAGTCTCTGCATCCCTGCTCTAAATCTGTGTAGACATTTCAGCAAAGGCTGGATTGACCCCTTGTGGCCTTCCGGGTCTATAACTATGTCCACTCTCCAGGACACCACTGCTATTGCTTGCTCAGAGATTCAGTTCCATGTGTATGTCATCAAATCCCACAGTGTAGAGGTGGGGAACCCTGGGAAAGGAGGAGGAAGGAGCTTAAGCAAAATGGCTTTAAGAACTGGGCAACTCAGCCTCCTGGTGTCAGACCTGTGCTAGCCCCAGAGGATAGCAGCAGGTAGCATCTGTCACCTAGCCCCTATATAGGGCCACTTGAAACCTAATACTTTCCAAGCCAGAGAGGCCTTAAGAAACCAAGAATAAAATGTGAAATATGTGGGAAACTGAGGCTGGAGAATGGGGGCCTTGCTCACACCCCTTAGCTTGAAATGAAGGGTTCTGTCCTTTAGCATCCTCTCCCAGGCAAACCCATTTTCCCATGGAGTAGATTTGCTTCTCCTGTTGCACAGAAGCTTCAGTAGGAGGCACAGATGTCCAGAGCCAGGCGGTATGTAGTCAAGGGCTTGTTTTTCCTGTCATAGACTCAGTGTCACTGCCCAGCTGGAGCAGTTCTAAAGTTTTCCAGAGAGTTCTGGGGCTGTCCTTGGTCCCAGTATTCATCAGCTTAGCAAACAAATGGGACCATCTCCTCTAACCCCAAAAGACAAGAGGTTTACACTCACCCGGGATGAATTCCTTCACATGTTCCTATCACTCCCCTTTAGACAGTTACTGCTTTAAGGGCCCCCTGGGCGGATCAGTCTTGGGACAGTGATTCAGCCCTGCTACAGTGATTGATGGAGGAGGGGATGAAATTGCTTAAGATGGGAAACTCAGAGTGCCAGGTTTCCAAAGCCTCGGTTAGTCCCTCTACATCACCTGCACGTGTTCCCTTTGGGCAGTCACCTTTTCCATATTCCTCGTGGTAAAACAGCGCCCTTCTGTCTGTGACTTACCTTAAGTGGCAGGTTTCTTCTGTGCAGGGACCAGTGAGTTTCATCTGCCCCTGTCAGCCTCATGCCCACACCACCACCAGCTGCCCAGCTTCCCCTCTGTACAGCTACTCCTGCCTATATACTCATTGCTTGCTAATTCTGGCTTTGCCTCCCCTCCACTCTCCTGGGGATGCTACTCTTGGATAGTTCTGAGGGACTGCTGGGGCAGGTATGGGGCCAGAGCCTTGTGCATATTAGACAGCTGTGAAAACAGATGTGCTCCAGGTTACCACTACCATGACCACTGAGGCTTAATCTGTGCCTCTTCCCACCTTTTCCCTGTGTAACAATGGGAAGTGGAGTGCATGAAATTTGGGGCTTGAAACTATTCAGGCTGGAGCAGCAGTGTGTAGAGAAATGCTTGGACCTCTCTGTTCCTGACTTTTATAGTTAGGCAAGTGCCTGATAGGGATAGACACAGGTTTCTGCCACCATGAGTGCTTTGTAAAGAGTTATCACTTCTCTAGGGGATGGGTAGTCAGGATGGAAGGAGGCCCACAGGAATAAGGGGAGTCCTAAGTGTCAGGAAGGCCATGTGGCCCATGGGGAGAGCTTGCCTAAGTCACATGGCCTGTTGATGGCATCTTTCTTTGGATGCAAGTGTGGCCAGAACTGGTAGCAGAGGGGCCAGCCAGCCTAGAGGAGAGGAAGGGGGAGGCAGTCAGGTGATGTTCATTTCTTAACTCTTGCATCTGTCTTGCTTTCCCCTCCCTGGCTTTCCTCTGCCTGCTCCTGTCACTCCTGGGGGTTTCTTGTGGCAAAGCTCAAGTCTCTGCGAAGCTAATGACCTGCCTCTGTGTGAAGCTTACTGGAGGCTGGACCTCGACACAGATGCCGCTGATGGCCTCTCAGCCCCTCTTCTGGCGTCCCCGGAGACTGGTGCTGGTCCCCTGCAGTCTGCAGCCTCTGCCCACTCCCATGGTGGTGGCCCTGGTCCCACAGAACACACCTGAGCCTCTTGGGGTACCCTCTCGGGGTAGCCCTCCTCAGGGCCCTAGTTTATCAGAAAGAAAGTCCTGTGGATACCCACCAGAGCCTAGTCTTAGCTCCCACTTGGGGACCTCGTGATCAGGAGCCCCTGTAGCCTCAGGAACCTGGCCAGGCCAGGGCCAGTTCCCTGTGATAATTGGGGAATGCTGTTCAGCTATTTACACGCAGGTGGCCCTTCATCTCTAGTGGCTACCTTCATGACTGCCAGGTGGAAGCTTGTCCCATTGAGAACCTTGAGTAGGGAGGGTGGCTGGTGATAGGAAGAAAGCCTCATTTTGTTGTTTAGAATTGGAAGGTGCTCAGTGGACCTTAGCCAAGTCCAGCTACCCATCCTTGGCTCAGGCTCCTGTGTAGAGAGTCCTGTCCGCTGCCTGGTGCCTTGGAGCATAATTGTCTGCCACAGCTGACAGTCCTAGCAAGACTGTGAGAGGCAGCTAGCCAGGGCATCTTCCTGGATTCTGCCACCATTTCCAGTCTGCTACTTTTGTGATGAAACTGTTGAATAAAACATTACCTTTTTGTGTTGTTCATCTTTCTTTCCTCATCAGTCCAAGATTGCACTTGGGTTCCTTCAACAACAGCCCCCCCCCTCTTGTAAAATAGCATCTAGTAGGTCTTTGACATTTGTTAATGAGTGGAAATCCACCATTACTGCAAGTTATATGACTGCAGCACCTGTATCTTTGGTGCCACCTATTTCTGTCACCCCAGCTTAGCACTAGCATGCCTGCATCTTGGAGTGGGTGGGCTTGGAAGGGTGTGTCATGCCTAGAGCCACAGGCTGAGAAATTAAGTGGCAGAAACAACTAGGAACTCAGACCCCATTGCCTCTCAGTACCTGGCTCATCACTGACATACAGAATCCATGGTACCAGGGCATGTGTGTGCCTTCAGCCTGTCATTCCTCTAACTATCATCACCATGCTTCATTCATGAAAGCAGTCATTCTGGATTTATGAGGAACATGGCTTGGTCACCAGGTGACCCAGCACTTACATAGCCAAACAGGGTAGCACGCAAGTGGGTAGCTATGTGGAAGTCACTGTCCCAGGGCTGGAGTTTTCCATCAGAGTGATGTCTGCAGAATGTTAACGGCTGAAGAACTTGTGTCACAGAGAAAACTTAGCCACAGAGTGGAGGAGTTGGGGGAAAACACTAGAAGGGTTGGAAAGGTTTTCCAAAAACCTTGTTGAAGGACAGATTCTTGTGTTTTATTATGTCCAAAAGAAAAGCTTCTCACTTAAAGGGCACCAGTACCTTTCTCCAGCTTGTGCGGCTGGAGCAGAGCTCCTCGGAGAGACGGCTGGGTATTCAGTTATCTAGAAACTCAAGAGTCACCAGTGAGTGACGTAAATTCTGTGTCACCTTTTTTTTCACGAGCTTTAACTGACCTACGCAAAAAGCTCTACGTAGCATGTGTATAGCAAGGCCCATACAGACCCTACTAGGGATTCGCTTTTCACTCCATTTCCTCATATATATGCCGCTTTCAACGCTATCTGCAAGGCGTTTTTCTCCTCTCAAGGCCCAATACCATCAAAACTAAGATGCATGGCTACTGCATGTAATCTAGGATCCCCGCCATACTCTTGTCTCCGATTGTCTTTCCCTCTTCTACCACACGTCTTTTTGTATCTGTTTTGCTCTGTGTGGCGGAGTGGCTGTGGGGTGCGGGGTATCTTATCCCCTCCAGGCCAGGTTCTGGACTTCAGACCAGTAGGCAAGGAGCTAGAGCGGCTTCGAATCTGCTAGGCGGAAAGGGCCGCACATAAGTCCTGAAGCTGAACCGGTGCTTTCTCAGGTTACAGATGGCATCTTTCAGAGTCACGCCTCTAGGTTAATGATTAGCCGATCCCTCAGGCCTGGCTAATCGAGCTCCGGGTGGTTCGCGGCTGCCTTCAAGACTACTAGCTTTTCGGCGCCTGTGCATGCGGAACTTCCGGCCAGGCTCAGCAATCGAGCGCTTGGTTTCCGGCGGGCCGCAGGGCAGCGGGAACCCCTGAGTGTTGAGCCCTGGTCTCCAACCATGGCTTCTTTGCAAGCCAAAGATGCCTATCTGCAGGGCTTGGCCAAGAAGATCTGCGCACAGCCAGGACCCGAGCGGCAGAGGAGCAAGTGGGGTAAGGCAGCCTTTGGGAGTCGATGCTGTCTCAAGGGCCCGCTGGCCTAAGTCGGTCGGGTCCGGATCCTCCACGCGTGATACAGGAGTGAGCGGGTACTGGCAGAGACAGCTATGGCTCTTGAGGGCGCCGGGCACTGATGGAGGGGAAGGTAGTTAGGGAACTACCAGACTCGAATGGAAAGAAAAACTTGCTCGCTAATGAAGTGTGAAGAAGTCGAGTTTTCTCACTGGCTTGTGTGTCTCAGTTCTTCTCTGTGCGTGTGTGTTTTATGCGTTGAAAGAATGTTTAAAATGCTAACATTTCCTCATCGTTGCAAGTGGAAATATATCATTCATCATAAAGCTCATTGCTGCTGGTCCTGGTTGTTAGGGAGGCTGAGAAAGAACTTCGAGGGTAAAGACCACAGGCCTGTCGGGGCTACATGATAAGTTCACCTCTGCATGGACAGCTAACTTAAGGAAACACTCTTAAAAAGTGAAAAGAGGGACTGGAGAGATGGCTAAGTGGTTAGGAACACTTGTTACTCTTGTATAGGACTCACATCTGGTTCCCAGCACCTACGTGGCAGCTCAGTCCTTAACTGTAGTAGTTCCAGGGGATCATACACCCCCTTCTGGCTTCCAATGAAACCTGGCACGGTTATAATGCACAGGCCTACATACTTAAGAACACTCATAAAGTAAGAGTAAATGAGTCTTGAGGCAGGGGCGTGGTGGGGGAGCAGTGGCAATCGTGGACCACAGGCCTTTAATACCAGCACTTGGCAAACAGAAGCAAGACAGAACACTGTGAATTCCAGAAAACTCACAGCCTTCACCTTAAGTAAAATAGTTTTTTTTTTTGTTTGTTTGTTTGTTTTTTTTTTTTTCCTTTTCTGGAGCCCATTTTGAATGACTGTGGCAAGCCAGAAGAGGGCACCACATCTCATAGATGGTTGTGAGCCACCATGTGGTTGCTGGGAATTGAACTCAGGACCTCTGGGAGAGCAGCCAGTGCTCTTAACACTCTGAGCCATCTCTCCAGCCCGTTTTTTGTTTTGAGATAGGGGTTCTCTGTGTAGCTTTGGCTGTCCTGAAATTCACTCTGTTGAGGACCAGGCTGTCCTCAACTCAGAGATCTGCCTTCCTCTACCTTCATCTCCAGATTGGTGGGATTAAAGGCTTGTGCCACCACGCCCACTGTTGATGGCATTAACTTTTAGGTTGATCTGCTAAATTAATATATTATAAAAGGCTTTTATCTGTTTGTCACAGATAGAGAGGTGGGCGAGGAATAGATTATTCATGGGATGGAAGCTAACCTGAGATAGGTAATGATCCTCTGTACCTGCAACATTCCAATCTCTCCACATCACTGCAGTTCAGTCTTTGCAGACAGGCCAAAGTACGAATACTACTGAAGTCCAATGTGATTAGCCAGTGAGCTTTATTGGGATACTGTATAAGAGTAGACATGATTAAAAGATACTTGTATCACCAAAGCCCACCCCAGCCAAGCTGATGGCTCTCAAAAGCTAGAAACCTTGCAGGCAGCTCAACAGGCTGTAGAGTGTCTATTCCATGTGGTCCTGCCTGACTAAGAGTCACTTGACCTTCCTCTTCTATATGCTTGGGGATGAAGGGGATAGTGAATCTGAAGCCTTGGTGTTTAGTTCCCATGCTTAGGAAGCTTTCCTCCACTAGGAGGACATTGCTATACAGTGAGGAGAGAGTGTAATAGCATCATCATTTGTTTCTGGAAGTGGGTGTTTATATTTAGATAATGTGGCGATGACCAACCTGAAACCAGACTTTGTGTTCTATTCCTCATGTGCATATCTGCCGGCTCAAGTATGTGAGTGTAGTTTGCATTTTTTTTTAATTGTTAGTTTATTTTTGTTTTTTTGAGACAAGGTCTTGCCATATAGCCGAGCCTGACCTCAGTAATCTTAGTGCCTTAGCCTCCAAATGCTGGGATTACAGATGTGTGGCCACCTGCTGCCCAGACAGTTGGTGGCGCTAAGCTTTGGACAGGGTGGCACTTGCTTAGTTAGCCATGCAGTCCTTTGCATCACTGGGATCAGTGCCTTTGCAGGATCTTTCTTTGCTGAATTGTTAGAGAGAAGGGATTCAGTTTGTTTTGCATTTCAGCTGTCAAAACAAAACACTTGGAAGCTGCTGGGCCCCCAAAAAAGAAGAGGAAGAAAACACAAAAGAAATCTCAGGAGCAGGAACAGAAAGCTACAGAGCACAAGACTAAGCCCCCAGGGAAGATGGCTCCCGCCTCTTCTAGGGCTAAGAAACCAATGGAATCTAAACAAGAGAAGAATTCCAGCTCCCTGGAGTCTCCTGAAGGTGAGGGGCTCCAAAACACGTTAGGGCTGGGATGGGGCCCAGAGACAAATGTTCCCACTGCTCAAAAGTACCAACAGGTTTATGGTAATGCTACAAGACTTTCCAGTGAAGGAAGATCATAGGAGCAGAATGACAGGGCATAAAAGCTCATGATGGTCATGTGCCACCTGCCAGGCAAGGTGATAACCAGCACTGTTTTTCTAATGTCATAGTGACCAGCCTCATGATGCAGTTGTTAGTTTCCTGTCTTAAAGGAGCTGATTGGCCTATAAACCCACAAATGGCACTGGAAAGGAAAATGGTGGTGGGAAGTCCCCTTTCATCCTAGTCTCCTTCCCTGCAGATAGCCAAGTCACAGCACCTGATTCTGTCTTTGCACTGGATTTCCTGCGACAGCGGCTGCATGAGAAGATCCAGTTGGCCCGGGGCCAGGTAAATGGGGAGTCTTCCTGAGCCCCTGGAACAGGCTGTAGAGTGTTTCCCCTCCCATTTCTGTGCTGATGTGAGATGTGGGGCGCTATAGTTGCTTTTTTTTTTCTTCTTCTTCCCTTTTAAACTCTTTCTCTTGGGGGCTCACTACCCAGCTCCCTAATAAATAGTCATAGACTTATTCTTACTTATGAATATCTGGCCTTAGCTTGGTTTGTTTCTTTCTTTTGCTCTAAGCTTTTGCCTTTCTCTGTTTCCTTCTTACTCCATGTCTGGTTGGGTGGCTGACCCCTGGCATTCTCTTCTCCTTTTCCTGCTCCTCTTCTCCCTTCTTTGCCCACCAGCCCCACCCAGTTCTCTCTCCTGCTTAGCTATTGGCTGTTACTCTTTATTAGACCAATCAGTTGTTTTCGACAGGTGAAGTAACACAGCTTTACAGAGTTAAACAAATGAAACATAAAAGAATGCAACACATCTTTGTATCATTAAACCAATATTCCATGGCATAAATGAACATAACACATATTTAACTATTGTTTCACAACAGGGCACCCCTTGACTGAGGTTGTAGGTATAGTTCCTTTCTTGGAGTATCTCAGTCCCTAGTAGAAGCAGCTGCTTCCTCGATGTCTGTCCTGTGTCCCCGAGAAGCACGGGCTGCTTCCTTTGGGGAGCTGCCTCTCCTGATGCCACATGGGTAGAGGATAGCCTGAATTATCTGTGCTGGCTGCCCTGCCCCCGCTCCCCAAGGCTCTTTTCTTGAGCTTTACCTTCTCACCCTCCCAATCGTGCCAGGCACCATCTCCAAGTTCCTAAGAGGGGATCAAAGCCTTCTGTAGTATAGCACAGGCCTGGGTTGTCAGGTACACAGTGCTCTCTGGCTATGGCACAAGATGGGACACAGAAAGCACTCAATCTGTGTCTGTCATGAGCAGAACATACAGTGGTTAGGACAGGCACTCCATCATAGAAACCCAACCTAAGCCCTGAATTCTAGGACATTGGATGACTGTGTGAAATGAAGTGCTCTGCCGGGGGAGTCTGGGAAAACTGGAGCCATTATCTTACTAGGGTTCCTTACCGTTCTGGTGTGGGTAACAAGTCATATTATACTGGTGGATCATGGTCCATTGGACTTGTGACCTGCATGAGGATTTCCTCTCATCTCAGCCATGTGCCAGACAGAGGACTTCTGAGGTTGAAAGGACCTTGATGAATGAAGCCCCACCTTTACCTATTTTCTTTCATTCTCAGGGCAGCACCAAGGAACTGTCTGCTGCCACACTAGAGAAAAGACAGCGGAGGAAGCAGGAGAGGGAGCGCAAGAAGAGGAAGCGGAAGGAGCTTCGAGCAAAGGAGAAGGCTGCAAAAGCAGAGAAGAAAGAGGAGCCAGCCGAGGCGCCTCCAGAAGTGGCCTGCAAGGAGCCGCAGGAGTCAGGGCTGATCTTTAATAAGGTGGGCGCCGTCTGGGCTGAGTGCCTTTTGCCCCAACTTTGCACCTTGCTGGTGGTGTAGGCGCATGTTGGTGATTCCCAACTGAGGGCACAAAAGCCATGTCACTGGTCCGTGTCACTGGTGAGATGTGTGTGCCCTCTCATTGATGTACCTCTTACCTGTAGGTGGAAGTGACTGAAGAGGAACCAGCCAGCAAGGCCCAGCGGAAGAAGGAGAAGAGGCAGAAGGTGAAAGGGAACCTGACACCACTGACAGGCAGGAACTACAGGCAGCTGCTGGAGCGGCTGCAGGCGCGGCAGGGGCAGCTGGAGGAGCTTCGAGATCAGGACGCAGGCAAGGCCCAGGAGCTGGAGGCCAAGATGAAGTGGACCAACTTGCTGTACAAGGCAGAGGGTGTGAAGATCCGTGACAATGAGCACCAGCTGCAGGAAGCCCTGAAGCGAAAGGAGAAGCGAAAGGCTCAGCGGCGGCGCCGGTGGGAGAAGCGCTCGGAGCATGTGATAGACAAGATGCAGCAGCGTCAGGACAAGCGGCGCCAGAACCTGCGCAAGAAGAAGGCAGCGCGCGCCGAGAGGCGGTTGCAGAAGGCCCGCAAGAAGGGCCGGGTGCTGCCACAGGACCTGGAGCGTGCCGGCCTCTCCTGAGCAGCTTGTACCTGTCAGGTTCCTGGCCTAGCACCTCGGTGATGGACTGTGGGTCTCCTATGTGAGATCAACATGTTCTTGCACCACAGAGCCATAGTGAGGGCTCTGATCGTGTGCCAAGAGGATGTTCTGGCATCATCCTTAAATTGGACAGTGTCCTCCAGTCCCTGGGAGGGAGGAAGGGGATCTGTGCCCAAGTCTTGTGTGTGTGTGTGTGTGTGTGTATTTCATGTTTCTGAAGTCTGTGTGTGTGTGTGTGTGTGTGTGTGTGTGTGTGTGTGTGTGTGTGTGTGTGTATGTGTGTGTTTTTCATGTTTCTGAAGTCTCCAGAGTAAGGGGAATAGAGGTTGGGGTGAGGCATCCCTCTGACCTCTTTCTGCCCACTTGTATGTCCAGTGGCCATGAGAACAAAAGGCTTTGACTACTGCTTCTGTGTTCACAAGTCCCTGGCAATGGAACAGAGCCCAAAGGAGTTCTTGGGAGAATCTGATCAGTCAGACATGCCTCCAGGGCTACAAAACCCAGAGTCCTTCCAGGGTCCACAGGATGTGCCTTGGGTCACATGGCCATCTGTGAGCCAGTTAGTGACTGAGGCTTGGGATAATATAAAATAAACCTCCCCCAAGTTGTTTTCGGTCATTGTGTTTTCTTTTATCACAGCAATAGAAAACTTAAGATAAGTGTCAGTGTGATTTTGGTAGCAGGAAGTCTTATGCAGAATTGTTCTTGGGGGTGCTGGCCAGGGTAAGGTTTCGAATGGAGATCGAACTGCTGTTAACCAGGTCAGAGGAACGGACAGATTGTAGGTGCAGAGTCACCCTCCCAGGTGAGAGCTTGGGTGCAGAAGTGGGTTGGTAGGGCTGGAGTATCTTTGTGATTACCAAATCCTGAGCAGAATTAAGGAATGATTGTTGGGTGTGGTGGTGCACACCTTTAGTTCACAGTACTCAGGAAAGAGTCCAGCTGGCATGAGCTTCAGAGGGAGACCCTGTCCTAAGAATGAAAGCAGCAGGGGAGGTGCCTCAGCTGGTAAAGCAATAGTCGTGTAAGCCAGACAGCCCAATTTTAATTTGGAAACCTTTTTGAAATCCAGATGTGGTATGCACATATAATTCCAGCACTCACTGAAAGATGGGAGGTAGAGACAAGATTTCCCTGGGAGCTCCTAAGGGGAATACACAGAAAGAGGAGAGACCCTGCAAGACGGAAGTCAGAACCAACTCCTGTGAAAGTACCTTGGTATATACATATCCCCACCCCAACAAAAACAACCAGTGTGATCACAGCTCCACTTGGGTTCTGGTGCACCTGATTTTACAGAAAGATTGCTTTGTTGAATTAACTTTCACTGTGTGTGTTCCTTTGTGCAACACTGAAATTATTTTCTAACAGCATGGCCGGCAGAGAAGGGACACTGAAGATGGGCCTTGAGGGTGGTAACCTACCTTGCTTTCTGAATTTTGCCATGATGTGACTACCAGCTACCTCAAATAGCAATCCTCCTGTCTCAGTCTCCTGGTTTACAGGTATCCTCTACCATGTCTGGCAAGACAATAATAAAAACGGATCAAGAGCTCACTAGGGCTGGAGAAATGGCTCAGAAGAACCCCTGTTTTCGCAGAGGACCTATAGTGTAGCTATGATGGCTCACAACTATCTACCTCCAGTTCCTGTTACTGGGCACCGTCTTCTGGTCTTTGAGGAGGACAGGCACACACCTGCTACACAGACATACAAGCAGGCAAAACACCCATACATGTAAATAAATAGCTCACAACTCACCCACTGCTGTGATAATTAATATAGTTATTAATAGGGTGGACACCCCCCCCCCCCGGCCCTCTTTGGAGAGTGGGAAATTTTTGTTTTGTTTGAACAGGGGTTTTAAATGTAGCCTAGGTTGATCTTGAACTTAATCAGCCTCCCAAGTGCTGGGGCTATAAGTGTATGCCACTATGCCTGACTCCTGCTTTGTTTTTGTTTGTTTTGTTTGGTTAGGATCTCTAGCCTTGGTTGTACTGGAACTGGCTCTATAGACTAGGCTGGCCTTGAACTCACAGAGATCTGCCTGCTTCTGTTTCTTCCCTAGTGCTGTGACACCACACACACACACACACTTACACACCAAACAAACACAAACACAACACCCTGGCACTGAATCTTGTGTTTGGGTGGAAGAGAACACTATAGCAACCACCTAAAGACAGAAGTGGTTCCACTGGGTGAGGCGGGTAGAACAGCAGTCCTCAAGGGCACAGCAGGAGCAGGGCTTCACAACCCATTCCACAAAAGCATGAAGTTCTTCCATAGAAAAGAAACAGACAAGGAAGCTGTGAAGAGTGAGGAGCATGGAGCATCTGAATGATGCTTTTTTGCAGTGATCCCCAAATAACAGCTGAAGGCAAGAACGAATATTCTTGGGCCTGACATGGTGGCACATGTCTTTAATCCCATAGAACTCACTGTGTAGGCTAAGCTGACCTGTTGTGTAATAATCCTCTTGTGCACTGTGTAGATTTGTCACTTGAATTGTTTAATAAAAAGCTGACTGGCTGGTAGCCAGGCAGGAAGTATTTCCAGGACAGCCAAACAAAGGATGCTGGGATGAAGAAGGGCACAGTCTCAGGAGACTCCAACAGACTCAGAGGAAACGATGAGTAGAAAATGAGGTACAAACCATAAGCCAACATGGCAGAGGGTAGATATGGGAAATATGGGATAATTTAAATGTACAAGTTATCTAGTAACAAGCCTGAGCTATTGGCTGAGCATTTACAATTACTATTAAGCTTCCATATCAGTTATTTAGGCTAGAAAGAAAAGTCTGTCTACACTGACCTCAAACTTGCAGAGATCAATCTGCCTCTGCCTTCTAATTACTGGAGTTAAAGGTGTGCACCAATCTGGCCTAAAGACTAACTCATTAAAAAAAATTCTAATAGTTTTCTGGTTTTTGAAATTATAGTTACATCATTTACCCCTTCCCTTTCTTCAATCCGTATGAAATACCTCCTCTCAAATTTATGGCTTCTATTTCTTTGTTTCATATATATATATATATATATATATATATATATATATATATATATATATCTCCCTCCCAAGACAGGATTTCTCTGTATTGCTTTGGACAGAGATCCATCTGTCTCTGTCTCTTGAGTGCTGGGGTTAAAGGCGTGTGCCACCACTGCCCATATAATATATATATATTCATCTATTTATTTTACATCCTGGCTTCAGCTTTCTCCCTCCTCCTCCGTTCCCAGATTCTCTTCCCCATCCTCCTCCCTTCTACTCTCTAATCCCCTCTTCTGTCTCCATCCAGAAAAGGGCAGGTCTCCTATGAGTATCAATAAAACATGGCATATCAAGTTGCAGTAAGACTAAGTACCTCCCTATGTATTAAGGCTGGACAAGGCAACCCAGTATGAGAAAGAAGGTACTTAAAGCCAGTAAAAGAGTCAGCCCCTGTTGCTGTTAGGAGGACCAAGTTACACAACTGTAACACATATGCAGAGTGCCTAGGTCAGTCTCATGCAGGCTTCCTGGTTGTTGGTTCAGTCTCTGCAAGCATATGTATATATTTCTAAATATATAAATACAACTGCTCAGTCTGTATGTATACTTGTATGTATGTGATTTCATGGCTGACTACTTGGTATTGAATATTCAATTTGGGGGCTCTTTGTGAGAGCCAAAGTTATATTTTAAATTTTAATTACTATGCCTTAGAGATCCATGAAACAACAATGCCTCTGATCTGCAAGTCCCTTACCCCAGGACAGATAGTTCCTCAAATGCCGGAGGCTACTGTTTATGGGAGAGAATAAGCAGAATGTTTTTCACTCCCCTAAACAAGCTTGTTTGACCCATCTGCACCAGATGTGCTTGATCACATGTGGGCGGGAGATTCAGAAGCAGCAAATATCTCAGGATATACACTTGCCCCTGATTGGGTGTAGGCTTCAGATATGTCTGTATGTATGGTTGCCCCTGATTGGAGCTGATGGGAAATGCAATAAATTATGGGTTTTCCTTCTTTAGCTGCTGCAAACCATGACTTGGGGCCATATCCCAGAAACCTGGGTATGGACCTGGCCAGAGCCCATCTACCTGGCCAGTATTCAATTAAAGCTTGCTTCAAATTCGGCTTTAAATTGTGGTAGTAGTCTTATTCTCAATTGGTGTGGTTACCTTCTCTGAGGAGACCTATCTCCCACTCTCAGCATTCTTTAGTTGCATTTAAGGTGTCACGGGAGAGTCCTAGCTTTCATGGAAGCTTATTCAGCTCTTGTTTAGGCAGCCATGTTGATGAGACTTCAGAGGTCAGCTTCTAGGCAATGAAACCTCACTATAAACTTTCTGTTCCTCTGACTCCAACAATCTTTTCCCTTTCTGCAGTGATCTCTGAAGCGTAGGTCCAGGAGTTTTGTTGTAGATGCAGCCATTAGGGTGGGATACCACATCTTGTTCTTTCCAATTTGATCAGTTATGGCTTTCTGTTATGGGCTCTGTCTCTTGCAAGGAGATGTTTCTGTGATGAGGGATTATTTTTACTTTTTAGTGTTATTATTTTTGCTTGTTTATTTCCCCAAAGATTTATTTATTTTTTATTATGTTTGAGTGTTTTGCTTGCATTGTAAATGCACTGAATGCATGCCTGGTGAGGCCAGAAGAGGGTGCTAGGTCTCTTAGATTGGTTGTGAGAAGCCGTGTAAGTTCTGGGAACTGAATCCCCACCCTCTGGAAGAGCAGCCAAGTGTTCCTAACCACTGAGCATTTTCTCTGTTCTTAATAATCAACTCTTGGAGGCCTTCATTTTAGCTAGGAAAGTTTTTGCAGGATATGGTGATGTATACCTTTAATGGAAGGAAGAAGCAGGTGGATCTCTTTGAATTTGAGGCCAGCCTGGTCTACAGAGTGAGTTCCAGGACAGCCAGAACTGTTACACAGGAAAACCCTGTCTCAAAAAACTAAAACCAAACAAAAACAAAAAGTTAGTTTTCTTAGAAGGGGGCTGGGAGGCTGGGGCAACAAATGAATAAACCCAGATGGGGAGTGGGTAATTTTGTATTCTCATGTTTTGCATGGATGTTTCTTACCCTGCTCTGCACCGGATACTGGATTTCTTATATTTTGGCAGCACTCTTCAAGTACTGAGTCCTCTAATGACATTTCAGTGATAGTTGTAAGAAAGTTCACCAGTTGGCTCACTGGTGCTACTGCTGCTGGGGAATGCCGAGGAAGGCACTGACATTAGAAGAAGACCGTACCAACCAAGGTTCTTGCCGTGATAAGGGGTATTTCAGAGGTGAGGTACAGTCAAGAACTGGGAGGGAGTTTTATTATAGACTGAAAGTACATGAGAGGGAGAGGGAGAGAGGAGGAGAGAGAGAGACTCCTTAAGAGAATCAGTTCCCTAGGGATTTGGATAGCTCTGCCTTATGGGCAGACTGTAATAGAGAGGAAGATTATTCATGAGCTAAGATGGGAAGAAAAGCAGAAAATTAATGAAATCTCCCTTAAGATTCTTTCCTGTTTGCCTGGTAGTAGTGGTGCACACCATTAATCTTAGCACACAGGAGACAGAGACAGGTGGATTTTTGTGAATTGAAGTCCAGTTTGGTCTACAGAGTGAATTCCAGGACAGGTTCCAAAGCTGTAGCTTTGGAGAAACCCTGTCTTGAAGAACCAGAAAAGAAAGAAAGAAAAAAGAGATTCTCTCCTCTCTTCATATTGATTTTTCAGATGTGTCACAGTGTCAGGTACATGATGGGGGGCAATTCACAAGACTGATTATGTGGAGACACCATTGTGATAAAGTAAAAGATGGTTAGTGGCAAGTCATCTCAGTTGGCCATGTTGGTACCAGTTGGTTTTGGGTGGTCTTTTTTTGTCACTGGAGTTTTTAGGGATAAAGTCTAGGCTCAGCTATGTAAGGAGTACGGTTTTTCTGTCCGCCGTCGCTGGTCTTGTCCCGCCACCGAGCCAGCCCCAAATAACACACACTGAGACTCTGTATTTGCTATAATCTGTTGGCCCATTACTAGTTTTTTATTGGCTAGCTCTGTCCTAACTATTAACCCATTTTGGCTGATCTATGTATTTCTCTTACCCGGGAGCCGTCGGCATTCTGCTTTCTCCAGACTCTCTATCTTGACCCCTCCTTCCTACTTCCCCTTTCCTCCTTGTCTCCTAGTTGTCCTATTGGTCAACAGTGCTTTATTCATTAACCAGTATGAGAAACATATACAGAATGACATCTCCCATCATCTCCTCTTTTCTGTCTGAAATAAAAAGAAGGGTTTTAACCTTAACGTGGCAAAATATATAACACAACAGTTATCAAATAAGAATTATAGTTAACAACATTTAGTGCGTTAACATTTAGCAAGATTTGAAGAAAATATTCCATCATCTATCCTATCTTTGTGTGTCTAAAGTCCTACATGTAACTTATCTTTAAGCCTAACTAAGGAAAACTATAACCATAACTATCTGTCTTCAACTCCATCAAAGACCACAGAAGGGTAATATATAAACTCTAGAAATGACAGAGACATCTTGCCTGGTTAGTCAACCGAAGTTCTTTTGTAATCTTCCATCTTTAGCCCATAGGCCATAGTGTGTCTGGCAGACTCTTCAGCAAAGCAGGAAACTTTAAACTGTCTTCTTGTATTGGCAGTTTGTCAGTCACTTTTCTCTGTGTCCTGCAGACTGTCTGGCAGACTCTTCCATGAAGCAGGAACTCTGTAGTAATGTTTATTTTGAATCAGCAGTCACTTTTCTGTGGGTCCTGCATGTCCAGTTTATACAGCATAAAGTCAAACAGTCCAGACAAGAGCAGTATCTTGTCCAAATGGCTAGTCTTGTCATATTGGAGGCAAACTCCATACGTGTTTCTTCGATGTCCATCTTCCTTTCTGACATAGGTGGTGTTGCCAGGAGCAGTTATGTCTCATTGTCAAGAAAAACCCTAAAACATTTTAAATGCCATATTCTGTAGGTCTTTGAAAGGTTTGAAGAATGCCTATCTATCTCAAATACATCTCTGTGTATCTTGAAAAACCTAACTAAACTCTAAGCTTTGACTATCATAGGTAATTATCTATAATCTGTACTACATTATACATTACATTTCTAACTGAGCTATATAAACACAATACCTAAACAAGAAGAGAAATATACATATCACCTTATTGACCTTAAATTGTATCAATAAATGAAAATCCATTCCAAAACAAAGTATTCATATCTATACCATAATTTTCTTTTTACCTTTAAAAGGATATTGGTTGTGATCATTAACCATTTATAACCAAGTCCATTTAAATGAAAACAAAATTTATAAACATTATTTGGTAATTTGGGCGTTGTTCTTTCCAAACTACTTCCTGCTGGTAAAGGGCGCTGTCATGGGGGAATCCTAAGAAGATGCAGAAATCCTGGTTGTAGTCTGTGAGGTTGCTTTGTCCAGTTTTGAATGTTGGATCACCAGTGACTCTGTTTCAGGGGGCCTGGCGTGATCAAACCACATTCGTCTGGAAGGAATCCACAGCTTTTTATTTTTTGTGGAAACAAAAATAGAAATCCTTTTTTCCAGTAACTTGTCCTTAGACTTAAATATTGGAGTCAAAGCATTTTTAAAATATATAAATTGAATTAATCTAGTAGTATTTTCTTTAACAGTTGTTTTCTCAGTAGTCAAACTATATAAAGATAATATAATGTCATACAGTACATAGATTTTTTTGAGCTTTTTATTTTTATGTGGCTTTATTATTACTCTGTTCATTTTACTTTTATTTTTTTATTTTTTGACACAGGGTTTTATTGTGTAACTCTTATCTGTCCTGGAATTTACTCTGTATACCAGGTTTACTTTGTAAATCACAGAGATCTGTTTGTTTCTGTCTCTTGAGTGTTGGGATTAAAGGCGTGTGCCACCACACCCAGTTCCTGCCTTTTTAAAACCATTTTTCTATTCTCTCCCAAGCCTACATATTTTTTAAAACACACTGTAAACTTTTAGCGCTTTTTCTTAATGTGAATCTGTTTTTACTGTAAATCTTTTTATAGCCATGAATCTTTTATCAGGTAAACAACAACATTGCTAAAATGAAAGTCTTTATTGTTTCTGCCATGGTTTATAAAAGATGGTGGCAGTTATTTTACCGCCAGCACTGAAAGCATGCTGCCGGCCTGGAGATGTGGTCACTGCCATTTGCCAGCTCTGATACATACCAATAAATTGTTAGCAGTGCTTTTTTATTTATTTATTTATTTATTTATTTATTTATTTATTTATTTTGGGGAAAGATCCTTTTATTGGCATGGGCTAGTCCATAATAAAATGACTTAAGAGAAAGATCCAGAAGGGCCGGTTCTCTCCTGCCCTGGCGTGGGCTCAGAGTGAGGCCTGGGCACAGGAGGGACCCTGAAGGACCCAGGGACTGAGACCCGGCCGGCCTGTGGGTGGGAAGGAGCGAAAAGGCCGCTCGGTATGTTGGGAGACCAGGCTGCCCTGGGCTCTGGACACTGGTGTCATCTTGGTGGCGGTTGGCCAAGTGGGGGACACTACTGTGCTTTAAAAAAGCGTCTACCAACAGCTCACGGCTGGGCCTGATGTCCCTTTAACCAATGCTTGACACAAGTTACAGCATAAATAAAAACTCAAGGAAAATAAATACATGGATCTATGAGGTTGGAGGCTTGGTTTGGGTGTAGGAGGTGGCTGCGCTTACACACGAGGGCCGGGCCTGATGGGAGCGGACAGAGGTGGGGCACTTCACGGGGCCTAGGTGTCCTCGGGCATGTCGGGGCTGTCAGTCCGGGCCACCTTGCGGGGTGGCGCTGAGCTCTCACCCTCTGCCTCCACCTGCTCTTGGTCTCTCTTCTTGGCGGCGTTCTTTTTGTCCCATTGCTGGTGCAGGTACCGCAGGAGAATGTTCGTCTTTTCTGTCACAATGATCTGTTCTGATGGGTACTCTCGGGTGGGCAGGTACACTGAGGGATGGCGGTTCGAGGCCTTGCACACGGAGTCTGCGTGGAACCTGCTGAAGTTGCTCTTGTTGTAGATGGGCAAGCCTTTCAGAAAGTCTGCCATCGTCCGTGTCCTCCGCCACCCCCCGGCCACCCCCCGGCCACCGCCGCTGCCGCAGCCTCCTCTTCGGTCGCTGCCACACAGCCACTTCCAGCCGTCTAGCAGCTCACTAGCAGTGCTTTTTTTTTAAAAGCCGTGTAGTTTTTTGCCGCTTACGCTGAGTCAGGAATCTTCCCTTAAAGGAGCCGCAGAAATTTTTGTTAGTCTCACACAAATCAGAGTATAACCCAGAAAATGTTGTTACCAAGAAACCTTGTTTGTTCTTTTGTTTTTAAAACCCTTTTTTAAGCTTCTGTTAAATTTTAAGTGGAAGTTTTTATTAGCCACGTAGGCGCCATTTGTAAGAAGTACGTTTTTTTTCGCCTGCCGCCTGGTCTGGTCCCGCCGCCACGCCTGCCCAAATAATGCACACCAAGACTCTGTATTTGATATAATCTGTTGGCCCATTACTAGTTTTTTATTGGCTAGCTCTGTCTTAATTATTAACCCATTTCTGCTAATCTATGTATTTCTCTTACCTGGGAGCCATCGGCAGTCTGCTTTCTCCAGACTCTCTATCTTGACCCCTCCTTCCTACTTCCCCTTTCCTCCTTGTCTCCTAGTCCCGCCTATCTTGCTTTCCTATTGGTCAACAGTGCTTTATTCATTAACCAGTATGAGAAACATATACAGAATGACATCTCCCATCACAGCTATCCATCTAACATGTTATTAAAGAGATGAGTCACGATGAAAAAATGGAGAAGTAGTTTATTCACTGCAGCCACATTGGGGAGAGCACATAGAAAAGGGTCTAGTGATCCCCAAGCCCTTCTTCAGGGAAATCATCATGAGGTTTGGTTTGAGGAGATAAGGCAATTAAACTGAGTTGACCAAGGTGTAGTCCCACAAAACATCTCAGCTCCAGTCCTGCAAAGAGGCCTGATGAATTGTTACTCTGTTGGTAGACTAATATGGTTTCTACAGATGATTACTTCTGTTCCAGAGTAATTGTTACCCTCTGGAGCTTGTGGAGTCTTTATCCTGTGAGGGTTTGCTCTTCCTGGAATCCAAAGTTAACTCTAGAGGAAAAGGTTAAAGACAACTTATACCTATCGTGGTGGCACACACCTTTAATCCAGCACTCAGGAGGCAGAGGCAGGCAGATCTCTGAATTCAAGGGAAGTTTGTCTGGTCTGCATTGTGAATTCTGCAGCAGCCAGGTCTATATTGAGAGATCCTGTCTCAGAAACAAACAAACAAACAAACCAAGCTAACAGAAAAAGACACTATATCTCTGTGCCTTCAGCCCAAGTGAGGGAGACAGACCCCAAAACAAGGCAGAGGTGCCAGGATTTCATCTTGTATTCAGTCATTTTGTGTTCCCAAGAGCATGGTCAGCACTTTTAGCAAAAAAAACAGCACATGGTTGGTTCAGTACAGTTCAATTAGTTGCATGGTGCTGGGCAACATAGCTCTGAGGTGACGTCAGCCACTGGCTACCTCCCAGGTTCCTTTGCATCACATGAGGAAGGGAAACTAATTTGTGGATTTTGCATAATCATATTTTTCAAGGCTCTGCAGAACAAACATCTAGTAAACCAGAAAATGGACTCTAGTGCTCTAGGGATGAAATTTATAACCCTGTGTTTTCAAAACGTCACGTGAAGGTCAGAGGACAACTTGTCAGAGTCAACTTTGTCCTTCTGATGGTTGAACAAATTTAGGGTCAGGGCTCCTGAAAATGAACAGTTTTACTCTTATCCTTGACCAGAAACAGAAATGTCTTTGGTTTTGTCTTATCTGCAGGCCAGAAGTAGGGAAGGGAGCTCTGATCTTACAGCCAGCCCCACAAGCCAACACCCTTGCTTTGAGGCTGTATGTGAGGGTGTGACAGTAACTTCAGCCACCACTTCCTTCTGGCGAATGCTTCGTATTGGGAGCTCTGGATTTTTACGGTGGAAATGTGTTATCTCTATCTCCCAATTTCAGCTCATCTCCTAAGTAGTTCTAGGGTCTCAACTCTTGAGTGAGGAATGTGACAGTAGAAGACAGATATCAGGGTCCTGCCGAAGCCCATTAAAAAAAAGCTATTTCCTCCTGGTCAAAAAAAAAAAAAAAAAAAAAAAAAAAAAAAAAATCCATCTCAGTCTTGGGTGAAGACATGATATTCTGATCTGCCCCCAAGATTAAAACATCAAATACCATTGTATTCTCCATCAAGAGTTAATTTAGCTGAGCCTGTCGATCACCTGGCCAAGAACATTATCAATCAGCCATCCACTGCTTCTTATGGCTTGGGATATTTTAAAAATTACACAAATTATCTTTCCTTGACAATTTGGAACCTTAATGATCTAGTAAGAAAAGCTTTTTGGGGCAACTTTTTTTTCCTGAGAACAGTATCACCCTAGATTTTAGCTTAGTAATATTGCTTATATATTTTTATCTCTGGAGACCATTTACAATTGTGGTTCCTTGTCTCAGTTTTAATAGAAACTGCTGTACTGTGTATCTTTGGGTTTTTAATTCCTGTTTTTCCCTCATGAATTAAAATGACTGCTACAATCTTGGAAAAAAAAAATCACCTGGCCAAGAGATCACCCCAAAGAAAGACTGACTCACCCAAAACCATTCTAAGGAGAGGGGAGGACTAATTATCCTCTTAATGAGAAAATTCCTTATTTTCCTCAGAAATTCTACCCTTGGCGCTATAATTATAGTGCTTCCAACATGTGACTTGTGGAGTATGCACACATACACTTGCGAGTGCCCACAGAGGCCGGGAGAGGACATTGGCTGTGATACATCCGACATGGGTACTGTGAACTGAACTCAGGTCACCTGCAAGAGCAGCAGACACTCTTCATTGTTGAACCATCTCCCCAGCCTCTTGCTTTTCTAACTACTCATAGAAGCTGAAGTGACTTTTTCCTTTTCTCTTCTTTGTGTGTCTCTTTTTTTTTCTTTTCTTTCTTTCTTTTTTTTTTTCTTTTCTTTTTTTATGAGCCTAAGCATGCTTTCCCCAAGCTTTGGGCCACTCACTCTTTCATTTGGGCTTTGCTGACTCCTAGCCCCTTTGTTAACCACAGTTGCTTTCTCCCTTCCTCTCAGGCATCTTCCTCTTCCAGACAGCCAAGACTCACAATTTGTCTGCCTCAAATTCTCTCAGACTCCAATACAACTGTTGTTAAGAGTCCCTCTGAGTCCTTTTATAAAATCTTTTACAAATGGTACTAGAAATCCAAAAGAGGAAACTCCAGTCCCCATGATAATACTTCTACCATACCATCTGGATTCTGAGGTACCAAACTCCTGTTGTTAGGGTTGGCATCAATTGCCTTTGTCCACTGAACCATCTTATCAGCCAAAGGTCATTCTTTAGACACATGTACATGTGTTTTGTTTGTTTGTTTGTCAGTTTGAAGCAGATAAAAGATAAAGCTATTTACAGCCTCTCCAAAACAGCCAGTCCTGGCAAGGATGGCAATACATCATCAGAGCTACTCAGGGCATGGCTGGCATGTGAATTATTTCTCCTTTTGTCTAAGCAGCTTCTGAAGCCAATACTGAAGGGAGTAACCGATAACTGGTGAGCTGGAGTCTGGTTCAGGATGTCTCAAGAGAAGGAATAGTACTCTGCTTTTATACTTCTGGAGGGAGGGGAGAGCAGTTCAGGCCTTTTATAAGATAAATATTAATTTCATTGTGGTTACAAGAGTGATTTGAAGGAGAAATGCCCCCATAGGCTTAGGTATTTTGAAAACTTGCTCCCCAGTTGGTGGTGTTATTTGGGGAGGTTCAGAAAGTGCAGCCTTGCTGGGGGAAGTGTGTCACAGTGGGTGGGCTTTGAAAGTATGGAGCCTCATCTTGCTTCCAGTTCAGTCACTCTGCTGTGTGGGTATAGTAAAAGATGTGAGCTCTTGCCAAGTGTAAGATGGTATCTCAAAGTTGTTTTGATGTGCATTTTCCTGATAGCTAAGGATGTTGAGCACTTTCTTAAGGGTCTTTCAGCCATTTTGGATTACTCCTGTCAGAATGGCTAAAATCAGAAACACCAATGACAGCTAATGCTGGAGAGGATGTGGAGAAAGGGGAACACTCCTCCACTGCTGGTTGGAGTGCAAACTCGTACAGCCATTTTGGAGATCGATATGGTGGTTCCTCAGGAAAATGGGAATCAGTTTACCACAGGACCTGGCAATTCCACTCTTAGGCATATACCCAAATAATCCACATCCATGCAACAAAGACATGTGTTCAACTATGTTCATAGCAGCATTATTTGTAATAGCAGGAACCTAGAAGCAACCTAGATGCCCCTCAACTGAAGAATGGATAAAGAAGATGTGGCACATTTACACAATGGAATCCTACTCAGTGGAAAAACAAAAACAAAACAACAACAACAACAAACAATGGAATCTTGACATTCACAAGCAAATGGATGGAACTAGGAGAAACTGAGTGAGGTAACCCAGTCACAAAAAGAGGAACATGGTATGTACTCACTCATATATGGATTTTAGAAATAGAGCAAAGGATCACCAACCTATAATTCACACTGCCAGAGAAGTTAGGAAACAAGGAGGAATCTAAGAGATTCATACAAGATCCCTCACAGAAGGGGAAAGGAACAAGATCTCCTGAGCATATTGGGAGGTGGGGGGGCAGTGAGTGTAGAGGGAGTTAGGAGAAAGAGAAGGGGAGGAGAACATGTAGGACTAGGAAGATTGAGTCGGGGAACGAATAGATGAGAGCAAAAAGAGAGATACCATAATAGAGGGAGCCATTGTAGGTTTGAAGAGAAAACTGACTCTAAAGAAATGTCCAAAGACCTACAACTAACAGTCTAGTAGCTGATAGAAACAGAAGCAGACACTCACAGCTAAACACTGAGCCAAAATCCTGGAATCCAGTTGCAGAGAGGGAGGAGTGATAAGAAAAATGGGGTCAAGACCAAGCTACAGAAACCTACAGAGACAGCTGACTTCCACAATGGGGAGCTCATGGATGCCCAGATTGATAGCTGGGAAACCA